GTGTTATTATAGATAATTTAGATTTTACTCAATTCACTGTAAGCATAGTTGCTGATAAACAGTGAACATGTGCCGAATTGAAAATATAATTTACTTTCAATAAAATCCTGGAAGTACATTAAAATGTAACGTTTTTTGAACGGAGTTTGGTTTGGAGTGCTTGGAAACATAATGTATCTCTGTGATGTCTTTGTCCAAAGAGAGAGAAGGTCTGCAATCATCGTCCAATTAATTGATTGGTTGACCAAAAAAATTAAAACAGGAACTATTTTGGTAATCCATAATCATTTCTCGAACAAAAATACCTAAATATTTGCGGATTCCTGTTTCTCAATCTTAGGAATTTGCTTCTATCCCATTGTGACAGGCATATTTTCAAGATATTTAACTGTTAGATAAAGTAAACGATAATTGCAAAGAATATTGGGGAGATTAATTAAGAATGAATTTTCATTAGGCTATAATTAAGTTATGGCCAGACTTTAAACTCAAAATTTTAATATACTGTGAAAAAAATGTGGTTTTCTTTTTAATTTATTGAATTCAGCATCAATTATATTTCCATACAATGTGTTTCAGATTTTAACTGAATGTATATGACATGTCAAAAAATCAGGCCTTTGTGGCATTACATATATTAAATCAATTTTTCCCAGTATGCTATAAATTGTTCCAATTTATGATGAACAAAAGCTGTTATTTTCTCCATTTTGTTAATGTGTAATATCCATCCATGTATTTACAGTTGGCTGTCCTGTGAAAAACCATTTCCTGGTGAGGTTCTTTTTTACCAGCCACCAGCAAGATATTAATTAAATATTAATACTTTTTGACCAGTCTTGAGACATACTGTATGTTCTCAAGTATATAGTCTTAATGTCCAAAGGGATTACAGATTTAAAAATGTCTTCTGTATCCTTCTCCAGTCTGATGATAGGCAGTCCCAGAACACATGGAGGTGGTTTTGCATTTAAAAATGTGTTTTTCTAATTTCACATCTGTATGTTGTCTGTTTATTTTGTGTTGGGAATTCATGTGTCATATTGTTTATTCAGAGCTGATGGTGCTTTGCTTCCTCCAGTTGAGTTTCCCAGGTGTGGACTGACTGCAGTACCAGCCATGCTGCTGCCTGTTCTGGTGCGTCCGTCCTCTGCCACTCTCAAACTCCGTGCTGTTAACACGATGTGCACGAACGCTGCGGTGTGACGCTGGAGGACGATGCACTCTCGGCGGAACACCTCCTACGACGGAGGCTTCCTTTGCAAATCCAGAGTCGAGGCACCAAGAGTCGAAGCAGGAAGACCAGGGGCCAGGCAGGAGGACTGGAAGACAGGAACAAGACGGCGCTGACGTACATCGCTTGCAGCCGGCGTGGGGATGATTGGCCTGTCGTACGCTGCAGTGCCGCTCTACAGACTCTACTGCCAGGTGAGGGGAGGAACACCTAACACCCTAAACATGAGCTGATGTTTTCACCCCCCCTGCCCACCCCCCCCACCCCCGTGTGCCTGTGTGACCCCGTGTTTGTCTGTCAGGCTTCAGGGCTTGGCGGCACGGAGTGGCGCGCACGACACAGATCTGGTGGAGACGATGAAGCCGGTGAAAGAGGCGCTCCTCAAGATCACCTTCAACGCCGACACACATGCCAGCATGCAGTGGAACTTCAGACCGCAGGCAGACGGAGATTTTTTGTGGAGACAGTTTAGATTCAGGGAAATGACACAGAGGTCCTGAGTGAAACCTGGTCTTACAAAGATCTCCGTCTGCCTGCGGTCTGAAGTTCCACTGCATGCTGGCATGTGTGTCGGCGTTGAAGGTGATCTTGGAGGGCGCTCTTTCACCGGCTTCATCGTCTCCACCAGATCTGTGTCGTGGCCGGCCACTGCCGTGCCGCCAAGCCCTGAAGCCTGACAGACAAACACGGGGGTCACACAGGCACACGGGGTGGGGGGGGGGTGGGGGCAGGGGGTGAAAACTCAGCTCATGTTTAGGGTGTTAGGTTGGTTTCTCTCCTCACCTGGCAGTGAGTCTGTAGAGCGGCACTGCAGGTAACGACAGGCATCAACATCCCACGCCGGCTGCAGCGATGTACGTCAGCGCCGTCTTGTTCCTGGTCTTCCAGTCCTCCTCCTGGCCCCTGGTTCTTCCTGCTTCGACTCTTGGTGCCTCGACTCTGGATTTGCAAAGGAAGCCCTCCGTCGTAGGAGGTGTTCCGCCTGAGAGTGCATCGTCCTCCCAGCGTCACACCGCAGCGTTCGTGCACATCGTGTTAACAGCACGGAGGTTTGAGAGTGGCAGAGGACGGACGCACCAGAACAGGCAGCAGCATGGCTGGTACTGCAGTCAGTCCACACCTGGGAAACTCAACTGGAGGGAAGCAAGCACCATCAGCTCTGAATAAACAATATGACACATGAATTCAACTCGAACATTCAATAATAAACCAAAAGCAAATATGGAGAAGATGGAGAAGGATACAGAAGACATTTTTAAATCTGTAATCCCTTTGGACTTAAGACTATTATACTTGAGAAAACAGTATGTCTCAAGACAATAAAGTAAACGATAAATTGCAAACAATATTGGGAGATTAACCAGCAAGATATTAATTAAATATTAATACTTTTTGACCAGTCTTGAGACATACTGTATGTTTCAAGTATATAGTCTTAATGTCCAAAGGGATTACAGATTTAAAAATGTCTTCTGTATCCTTCTCCATCTTTATTTTGTGTTGGAAATTCATGTGTCATATTGTTTATTCAGAGCTGATGGTGCTTTGCTTCCCTCCAGTTGAGTTTCCCAGGTGTGGACTGACTGCAGTACCAGCCATGCTGCTGCCTGTTCTGGTGCGTCCGTCCCTCTGCCACTCTCAAACCTCCGTGCTGTTAACACGATGTGCACGAACGCTGCGGTGTGACGCTGGGAGGACGATGCACTCTCAGGCGGAACACCTCCTACGACGGAGGCTTCCTTTGCAAATCCAGAGTCGAGGCACCAAGAGTCGAAGCAGGAAGACCAGGGGCCAGGAGGAGGACTGGAAGACCAGGAACAAGACGGCGCTGACGTACATCGCTGCAGCCGGCG